CCCCCACCCATCTCATCCCACTGTTACCCATGCCCATTACTACCACTGTGCAGCCAACCACTACCTCTGTCTATTCAACTTCATGTCTCAATGTAGCTATGGAATCATTCCACCAGTCTCATACATACATTGACATTCACGGTAGCATAGCTCATAGTAGTGATAGATCTACATTTGGATATTTTCTTGTGTGCATGTGATAACCCCACTGTTTTCATAATCCTATTACTTTTATCATCATAATGCTATCAGAAAGTAAATCAACTTGATTATAATGACTTCAATGAACAAATGTACTGTGAGGTAAATGTCTTTATGTCCGTGAGTGTTTGATGTTATGAGAGTTATTGCCATACACCGTTGTTGCTGCCTTGTTTATGTCTTTATGTCTCCGAGTGTTTTATGTTACTAGATTTAGGGCTATATACACGGTTAATGTAGCTATGTACTATGACTCTTGTTTAAATATTGATTTAGGATTTAACATTTTTCAAGACATGGGCATTTAAATTCCATTAGGCCAGACTTTTTTTATTCCTTGTTTCGCGAGTTTTTATAAGGCAATTTTTTTGAGGAGGGCGGGGAAAAAAATAAAATTAATTCTTTGATCGGAGAGAAGTATAACCTTGTTTCTCATCTGCGTGAGACTTTGGTACTTTGATACTCCCATGAAAATGCAACTTGGATTTGTTATGCAGCGGGCGGTAAAAAAATGAAGATAAAAATAATATTTTTTTAGCATTTTTTTGCGCTTACAAGTCGGCGGGCACGAAAAATTACACTGAAATAAAATTATATTTTTATTTCATTTTCGACTCCTGTTCATTCGGCGGGTTCGCGAAACAAGGGATAATAAAAGCCTGGCCTTAATTTCATTTGTTGTCATGATATATATAAAGCTACTTTTATTTGCAGGAATATGGTTTGGTGTGAAAGCCCCATTAATATATGCCCAACTCTAATTGTAAATTTTCAAGACTCTCAAAACATGCTTCCAATCAAATTTCTTTTCTCATCTGCAAGCACACAATGTGGTTGAACGCCATTGTATGATGCTCGGTGAATGGTTGAGTAATTTGCTCATGAACTATTAAGTTGAATGGGAATTTTCCAGTAAATAATTAGCAACTTATCAAAAAAATAATTGAATGAATCAAAATTAAGAAATAAACAAATATTTTTATTTATCAGAACAACTTGCTATTGCATTGTTTTTTTCGATACAAGACAATTTTGTGATTTGTTGTAAAACAAAAACAATGAATGAGTCAATGGAAGCCTCCACTCCACCTCGAGGTATGTGGAACAGTTATGGGGTTAATTTCGAGATATCAATTTTCAGACAAGCTTGAAGGGGTCAGGTATTTTCTCATGAAATTTCCCACTTATTGGTAAAAACCTGGGAACAATAGTGTATGGATAGTATCGGGTGCAGATAACAGAGTGATAAGGCATATTTGTTTTATCCCAGGGAGGGGGCATAATATATTAAGCAACTCTAGTGATTTTTCTTGTTTCTATGTACCTGAGGTGGGGAGTGTCAGGGTTTATATTAACTAACACATTACTTGCACAAACTTTGGGAGTCTTTTTCGTAAATTAATGAATACAAAATAATGGTTTGTGTATGGTTGTATGTGTTACATCTCAAGCTGATGCATATATATTTGTGTGTTCACTGTGTTGCTTTCTCACATGTTAGTGCTTTAAATGTAGTAGGATAGCTATTCTTCATGCTTGATGAAATTGTTGTGTCTCTTGCATTTTGAAATCAGTTTTGATGCAGATCGATAAAGATGTTTATGTTGTTGGATTCCATGTGCACATTTTTCAATTGAATTATTCTGATCATTATCATGGCAGTTTTAGAATGGTTTGATTAATATTGGGATAGGAATAAGTGAGGTTGTCACTCTATTAAAAAAAAAAATTGTTTCTCATTTCATATTTCTAGAAAAGGTGTGTTTGTCTTATGATTATCTAGCAAATATGCATGGTTTCAAAATGGGATCTTGATCGCATATCATATTTTATGCACTAAAATCCAGCAACTGTTGCTAACTATATTGAAGGGCGGTAGTCGTTCGCTTGAGATTGTGTCGATGAACATTGATTTTCCCACAACCCAATATGCTCTTCCACTAGCAAGCATATAATACAAATTTTGATTTAGTGTTGAAGTTCACTAAATACTGTAGTTAAATCTTGATAGTATCCCTCTGTGTTGTACCATGTACGTGTTGTTCTGCACAACAAACAAGTCACCATCTTTGTTACTATGGGACCCATATTCTGTGCATGTGCGACATGACAACTGTCACCTGTTAAACGTGTTTAACCATGTCATATGTTTATGTTTTGCTGCATGTGAGTATAGCAATACACGCATAGATTATCCAACTGAGTACGTGTATCGTACATTGATATTGACGTTATGAGCCACCATATGCATCCCTTTGTAAATGTGACATGTCCAGCCTTGTAAATACTTGAACTTGGCCATCTGTTCCGTTGTACACTATATGTGTCTTACCAAATTAAATCTTAATTTTGAATTATTATATGCCTTGTAATTTTTTTAACCCATCATAATGTGTATGTATTTCTCTAGAGTTTTATTTTAATTTTAAACAAAATTGACATAATTCTTCATTAGCTGCATGTCCTGATCAATGTTTTTGAAAAAATTTACACAGGTTTACAGTGAAAAGAACAAATCTAGTGATTTTTCTTATAAACATGTTTATAAATCATGATCATCAGGTGTCATTCAAATTCAAATATTTAATAGTGATTGGCTTAAAAGCTTCAAATTGTTTACACCCATAATGTACGTGGCATGCCTTCATGTAACATAGCAACTGTGACCACCCACATATTCAAAATGAGGCGCTTGCTGATTGGATAATATTGAACTACTAGTCTCTCATTAATTTTTACTAGAACTACCATTGATGTCACAATACCATTCGGTCAATTTGAATTATAACATCCATATGATTTATGAAAATGTATATTCATAAAACTATTATAACAACCACAGCTTTATGGCCTTTACTGTATTGAGGAAATGTTTGCAATTTCAATCAGTCTCTTAGTTAGAGAAAAACAGAAGTTGGCACGAAAAAAAAAAAAACTATTCAGTTTGGACATGAATGTACTTTACCATACATAAGGATTACAATCCAGAATTTATGTGACTGGATGCTTTGATGGGTGTTGTATTTGTATTGTTCCTTTTATGTACTAAGTTTGCATGACCACTCAATGTCCCCCCTAAGGAATGGCTACTTGATATGTGTAGTGTTGATGTTGTCTATATTATTTGTTTTTTTAATAGAAAATAGCTTTAGATGCCTTGGCAAAAAAGATACATAAAATGTGGAATAAAGTAGAAGATGCTGCTGTGGCGTCAACAACGTTTAAAACATCGGAGCCAGCTACTACCGTGAGAGAAGCTACGTTCTTAAGTAATGTTGAAAGTATGTTAAGTTTGTGTTTAAATTACATTCCTGCGTATTTTATATACATGTTTGTATTCAATGAGATTTGTCAGTTAATTCTTCACATTGCTGCACCATAATTGATACATACTATAAATCTAGTATCTGTTTCTTATCCACGGTTGGCTGTAGTAAAAAGAAACAAAACATGGACTTGTCTTCTAATCCATGCATACTTCAGGCTTTATTTGATTTTGTCCAATTTCGTTGCCAAGGTAAAACATAACCCTTTAGATATGCATATCAGTTTGTGTTTACATTTGACAACTGACTGGCAGGAATTTGTTAGATATCGGTATGCCTTGAAAACGTCTTTGCTTAAATTTTAATCGGTGATTATTTTTATCTGAAGATGAAAAGTTACTTTTCAGTGGCGAAGAATGCACTATGTATATCTTAGGTTTACATTCAGTGATAGTGCCGCACATTAGTATTTGTTTGTGTTTCGTAATTTGCAGTGATTGCTGAGATGTCAGTAACAATCTTAATATATTTCTTTTATTAGGTTCACTTGTTGGAAGACAGAGTTCTTCGCCTAAACAGAAGGTAAGCAGTTCATCAATGTGTGAATACTCAATATATCATTTGCAATGACGTGATTTCCTTCTGGATTCCATCAATTAGTATGTACTTAAGTCCTGAGAATTGTTTTTTTTTTTTTTTTTTGAAAACAAGATCTAATATTCTGTATTCTTTATATAGTAAAATGTAAGATTCACTTATGATCGTCCAAAAATATATACATTTTAATAGTTCACAACACCCAAATATTCTAACAGGAACTATTAATTTGGATTGCATCCATCCATGCGTGCACAAGTCCAGAGCCATTTACTAGACATGCATTGACTGTTATCTTTAAAATTGGTGCAAAAACAACCCATGATGTATTTGTTTTTATTTGGTCGACTAGCGACCATTTAGAACAATAAAATCGGCCAAATCCTAATCTGTGTCAGCAGCTCATGATGACCGTCTGTCGGCCATTATTTTTTTTCACCTGAAATTTTACTATTAAACTTATAATCTCAGTGATCTGAGGCACTTAAATTCTCAACATGGACTCTGTCATTTACAAAGACTTATGAATGCCTAATATAGTGTGCCACGACTTCACCAGGCCACATTTCAGTTAAGTTCAACAAGATGTTTCTATTGCATAAAATTGGATCTACCATATGCTCCAGATGTCAGTATTGAATGTTATTTTTAAATCTCTATTCCATTCGCAGTCCCATTCAGGACGAAGTTCTGGTAAAAAAAGCAAAGATAAATCATCCAAAAAAGCCTTAGAAAGTCCGTCTCTATTGCCACCAATAGAAGGTAACAAACAGGATGCCAGATCTAGACTGATTGTGTATCATCCCAAACCAATACCACCAGCACAAGTATTGCCGCTGACCAGAACAGTAAGTTTAGTTTTAGTTTTCTGTAATCATCATACATTTCACACTACACAAAAGTGCTTCAGTAGTTTAACTGCATTTTATTTTGCAAAATTGTACTGTGAAAAAAAATCAATATTTTTAGTGATGTATAAAATGTCATGGCAATTTAAAACTTTTAAACAATTGAATAAAATTTCAACAGCAGTAATTAACAAATTATATTTCTCAAGATGTTCTGATCAATTTATAAGCCTATGAGCCAAGATGCAGCAAGTGTCTAATATATATGCATATTAATTAGCTAATTTACATACCTGTATTACAAAATATTATGACATTTCCACCTTTATTCTCACAACACAACATACCTAGTTTGTAAACCTACATTCTCAGAATGCATAAGTAAGCAGTTTAAATTTCAAATTTTTCGATATTAATTTTCTATCACTGTGTTGTATTACCGGTAACTTGTATTCAGGTAGGTTCCCTCCCTAGGCTTTCAGCTAGTCGCCTGTCTACCTGTCATTTTGGACAGGCAATCCACATTTTTGACAGGTACAACATTTCATTGGACAAACCTGTACAATTTTCAGTAAAAATTGGCCATAAATTTTCTAAATAATCATAATCAACAAGAAAAAATCAGACTAGGAACTTTTATCTTGTATTTTGATTAAGTTTTTAGACCTTGCTATTAGTTTCACCAATTTTAATACATGTACCAACATTTCCTAATAGCATCAAATAAATGATGCATTTTAATTTCAGATGCCATTCTTTGTGTGTAAGATGTAAGGCAATATTTCTGTACTAATCCCTGTCTGACTCTCTCTCTCTCATTCTTTTAATACTCATTGTTCCTCTATACTCAGCCTGTGGTGGTATTTTCTGACAGAGTTGTGAGTATTGATGAGTACCCTTAACTTGCCCATTATTCTGTCCACTAGTGGAAGATGTAAAGCAATATTTCTGTACTAATCCCTGTCTGATTCTCTCTATCTCTCTCATTCTTTACTCATTGTTCCTCTATACTCAGCCTGTGGTGGTATTTTCTGACAGAGTTGTGAGTATTGATGAGTACCCTTAACTTGCCCATTATTCTGTCCACTAGTTTCTCTTCCTAGAGCTGCGCAGAAAGCATGTACATTTTGTAACTTTAGAAATACAAGTGTAAAAGTTCTGGTTTTGTAATCATATTTAGTACTATACACTGTATGTCAATTTTCTATTTTTTTTTCTGAAGACACTATTAACCCACCTGTTCATTTGCAATGATATGCTTTTTTCTATTCACTCCTTACAGTTGCATGTATATACTCGTGATTTTTCTCCTTTTCAGATTTGACAGTTTATTTACTTTTATGCATGTTTCTTTTACAATGTTTATGGATTATATGCTAGGGTGAGGTATGCAATGAAGATCATGCATGAATTGAAAAAGTTATGCGAATTTTGTTACATCACAAAAATCGCTAGTGAAATCTTAATTCTAAAAATGCTAATGCAAAATTAGTAATTCTGTGAAAGAATTGGTTCGTGTTCATCCGTTTATATTTGCAAAGCATGTAATATTGTAGCCTTGACATTCTTTGAGGTCCTACAACACTGTCAGTTACAGTGCGAAATTTTGTTTTCACGAATAACATCAAATTCTCAAATCCCGAAAATTATCGGTAAACAGTATTTACAACAACAGTTTATGTACAATTTGTGAGACATTTTCTCCATGAAAGCTAAATTTCCATCGACCCAGATATGTCCAATATATTATTGCAAACTGGAAATGATGTCATGGGATAAACGTTCCTCAACATTGCAGTACAAATTTTAAATAGCCACTGGACCATTCCCAAAATACCAAACAATCTCACATATTCAATATAATAATAATTATTTTCTATGTACCTAGATGCTTTTCATTAACACAGTCGATAATTACCGTTTGTTGCAGAATGCTGACAAAAGGTATCCACGTGTGTCATGTGACTGGAATGAAACTTTGCCAGAAGACTCGGAGCCGACACTGAGAATCGTTAACCAGATGAATGTTGCCAAGGAAACTAATATATTAGTTTATAAAAGCAAAGAAAAAAAGAGAAAGAAGTTATTGACACCGGTGTCCACCAGGGAAGCATCGAGTAAAACTGGACAATTGTGAGTCTATACAATCACTGCCATTTTTATCTAACCTCCGCAGTGTAGTCATGATTTTAGCTCACACAATGACACAGGGTCACTTGTTTATTTCCTACATTAAAGCAGCAATACTAATGTTGATTATCACATTTAGCCAACTACTCTGTCGTACGTAGGATCGTTACAAATCAATCAAATGTGTGCATTGGGCACTCATCTTAATAGACGAAAAATAGATATACTCATCAGCGCCAGCGAAAGGTTCGATTATTCAGCCACCGCTCCACTGCTATTCCATTGCAGATTCTATTCAGTTAGTGCATTTTTAAATGCTCCCTCTTTGGCAAATCAACCTTCTGCCATTTTACTTTATATCCATTGCGATATGCTGCAGCAACTCTGATTTATATGCTTGTTATAAGAGGCACTTCCAATCAGATCAATGTATTTTACTCTGGCCAAGATCAAAAGAGCCAAAGCACACAAACTTGTCATATCACAAGCACCAGTGACTCTCAAACTATTTTATTGACTTAAACACATATAGAACAACAGTAGTGTCTTTTTAGCTCCGCTGTCGACTTTGTCGAGCGGAGCTTATTACCAAACGCTTCAGCGTGGTATTAAGAGTTTGTTTTCAGGGGTGGGTGATACCAAGGTGGGAAATGGATGCACTTATGGGGTTAATTCCTAGAATTGCAATATAGAGGGTTCAAGCTGAAATACAATATATAGTGTTTTCATGTTTCGTCTGATATTTCTGTGGTATTCTGCTGCTGTAAGTAATGCACGATTTGTTCCGAAATTCAGTATATTGTGTGTATTCCAGGGTTATTCGTTTTTTGCTGAAAACACC